ACTGGCGGTGGTATCTGCTGAAAGCATTGAGAAATTCAAGAAACTTCTGGATGAGTTTCTTCTTTCACTTCATATACAGGGATATGGGAAGTGTTAGAGCCATATATATATACAAACACACACACACACACACACACACGTTGTACTGGATGGACCTTGGTCTTTATTCAACCTCGCCTACTAATAGGGTTGCCACCTGTCCAGGATTCACCCGGACAGTCCGGGTTTTGAATGCTGTGTCCGGGTTTCATGGCAGCTGAAACCTGGACACAAGATGTCGGGCAGACAGGGGCAACCAAAATTAAGATAGGGGCTACTGGCCCCCCCAATAAAAATTTTAATCTCGGACCCGAAAAACAAAACTAAATGAATTTTTTTTTGTTTCAAAACGAAACTAAACTAAACAAATTTTTTGCTGGTGCACATGTCTAGCGAACACATACCGGCGTTCGCTCACCTCTCGATCCTGTCACGGCTCTCTGCCGTGACACCGGGAGGGGCTGGGTTCCCTCCTCCCCGCTCCGATCCGCCAGCGCTGACTGGCGGAACGGACGGGGGAGGGTACAGCTGGCTCTGCCTCTAGATAGGCAGAGCCAGCTGTCAGTCACACAGCTGGGCGGATCCCGGTCACAATTGTCGGTATCCGCTTCAGCTGCGGCGTCTCAGTATACCGCAAGATACAGCTCCCTATATACTGAGCTTAGGGTGACAGGAGGACGCTAGTTTGTGTCCTCCCGTTACCCTAAGGAGAACTATGGGGAAAAGCCTTAACCCCATAGTTCTCCTTTAATAATAAAAGCCGCGCTGTGTGAAAGGAACTGCAAAAGTGTCAGATATAGTAGATAATGACCGTGAAATAATGTGATACAATGTGTAAAAAGTGCAAATTGACGTACGTTACGTCAAAGGGTGTGACTTCATCAGGGGTTCACCCCTGATGAAGTCACGCCCTTTGACGTAACGTACGTAGGGTGGAGTAGAGGAGCTGAGCCATTGCACACAGTGTCTGTGGCTGCTTACTAAAAACCTTACTTTTATCTATGATATGCGAGTTGTATCCTTTTTTAATACATTTTTTTAGTATCTTTTTAAAACCATCTGCACTACGAGTTTGCACTTTTTATTTGATGCATGGGTCCATTCGGATGAATTGCCTGCTTCCAATTCCTGAGACTGCAATGAGAGTCTGTACCTGAGAGGAGGAAATCACCGGGAGGTGTTCGGCTTCAGGTGCTTCCTCTACCTGGTTCGAATGAGAGGAACAGCGCATACAGACCCTGGCTGGTCCCTGCTAAAGGCGAGGTGCATTCCAGAAGGTTTCTCTGTTGATGGTCATAGGAGACTGTTCGGATTATCTTACATCCAATGTTTTATCTTCTATTTTCCTAATGGACTGTTGAAGATCCAGGATCATGGATATTTTTTAACCATTCATTTTTTTCACTGAAGTGCATTTTATACACATGTGTTATTTTTTCTAGTTGTTATTCTTTTAACCACTTGCCGTCCGCCCGTTGTAAAAAAACGGACGGACGGCACTGCAGCATTGGTGGATTTTTTTTCTGCTCGCGCAGAAAAGACCAGACCAATGCACCAATCCGTTACCGGGTGTTTCACATATAGACGATCAGCGGCTCCATAGCCCGCCGATCGCCTATATGTGCTCGTTTTTTCGCCCCCCCTCACCTTCAATCCCGGGATCCGCTGCCCCATCTGCGGCCCGGGACCGGCTCGTAGGGCGTCAGGAGGAAGAAAAATAATATAATATATAATAAATACCACGTCACATTCCTTTTGGCTAGATCCTGGGGAGTACAGAACCGCCCAAATCTTATGAGAGCAAATAACGAAGTGGGAGGAAGAAGCGCCGCGACTGACTGAGTTCAAGGGGAGTGGGGTGGGAGAATGGTTCAATTTGGTACGTGGTGTGCAAAGGTGTTGCTTCCAGGATGTTGATAGTTGATTCGATTAGTCAAAAAGCAAGATGAAAGGGCTGTATGGAGTGACGTGGAGTCATCGGTCGAGGGACGAAGTCACTCCCAACCAAATGGCGAGCGTCAGGATCCAGAGCACCCGCAGGTGGCGCTGGAGCCAAGTCCTGCAGTTCCTGTGCTCGCCTGCGGGCGTCTCCAGCAGCCAGGAACTGTCAGGAACCTGCAGCTCCAGTACTCACCTGTGGGTGTGTCCCAGCTGCCAGTGATCATCCCATCACCTGGTGCTTCCTGGGAGGGTATTTAGGCCCTCCCTGCAGTCAGGACGTCGGCTCAGTATCTTGTCGCGTTCCCCTGAGCCCCATTTGCAGTCCCAAACCTGTTACCTGTATGCAGTCCCAAACCTGTTACCTGTATGCAGTCCCAAACCTGTTACCTGTATGCAGTCCCAAACCTGTTACCTGTATGCAGTCCCAAACCTGTTACCTGTATGCAGTCCCAAACCTGTTACCTGTATGCAGTCCCAAACCTGTTACCTGTATGCAGTCCCAAACCTGTTACCTGTATGCAGTCCCAAACCTGTTACCTGTATGCAGTCCCAAACCTGTTACCTGTATGCAGTCCTAAACCTGTTACCTGTATGCAGTCCCAAACCTGTTACCTGTATGCAGTCCCAAACCTGTTACCTGTATGCAGTCCCAAACCTGTTACCTGTATGCAGTCCCAAACCTGTTACCTGTATGCAGTCCCAAACCTGTTACCTGTATGCAGTCCCGAACCCTTCCTTGCATCCAGTTCCTGAGCCCTGATACCCGCTTTGTAGTTCCTAGCCCTGTTCCCGCTGGCTGTAGGTGTGTTTTTGTTCTATTTGAGTTTTGTTATTTACTGCTTGTGTTAGCTTGTGGGTGTTGGTGGGGTTTGTGTTTTCATGTTTGCTGTATAGCAATAAACTGTGCCTATACCCTATCCAGTGTGGTCACATTAATTTGGTCTTCTTGCGTGGGTACCTGCATGTGGTGTGGGGACACCAGTGCGCGGTACCCTGACAGTGAGTCTCTACATGCTACATTGTTTTTGATGCACTACTTTAAAGGAGAACTATGAGGGGGGGAGGGGCTTTTCACTCATCCTCATAGTTCTAGCCGACCTGTGACAATGAGACTGTCACAGGTCGGCTCAGTAGATCGGGAGGTGAGCGAACACATACCGGCGTTCGCTCACTTATCGATCCTGTCACAGCTCTCTGCCGTGACAGGGGAGGGGCTGGATTCCCCGCTCCGATCCGCCAGCGCTGACTGGCGGAACGGACGGGGGAGGGGGCGGGTACAGCTGGCTCTGCCTCTAGATAGGCAGAGCCAGCTGTCACTCATGCAGCTGGGCGGATCCGGACATAATTGTCGGGATCCGCTTCAGCTGCGGCGTCTCAGTATACCGCTTCAGCTGAGCCTAGGGTGACGGGAGGACGCTAGTTTGTGTCCTCCCGTTACCCTAAGGAGAACTATGGGGAAAAGCCTTAACCCCCATAGTTCTTCTTTAATCTCAACCATACATCCCTTTTCATCTTGTTTTTTGACTAAATCGGATCAACTAACAACATCCTGAAAGCAACACCTTTGCACACCACGTACCAAATTGAACCATTCTAAGCACCCCCCTCATAGTTCTCCTTTAAACTTTCCAAAATCTCATGAGAAAATGCTCTTGGAATGGACTGGAGAGCCTTCTCAGAAGATATGACCTGCTTTGTATATCCCAGGAGTCTTCCTGGAAGGACGGTGATGCCAAGCCCAATGATGTGGAAGACGGGGGGTAAGGTAAGAATAAAGTGTATACAAAAGTAATATATACAGTATATAAAGTAATAACTTTTTTCTTTATATTCACATGTTGGGGCCCAGCCAGTATATGAGGACCTTGCATTGCATTGGAAGGTCCGCTTTAATGGACTTTTTAAGATCATGAGAAGAATGAGAAACAGCTTGGTGAAAAAAGTGAAACACAAAACTTTTTATTGCTAAAATTCAAATCTTAAATTGCATTTTTTTTTATTAAAAAGATAAATCCTCCCAAACATGATATCTGAGTTTTTGATGAATGCAACTTGGTCAGTAATTACTAACCGCCAATCAGTCTTGAGCACTCCAGGAGCTAGATCAATAGTAGAGTTCTTAAAGGAGAACTATGGGGTCAGTGTTTTCCCCCATAGTTCTCCTAAAGGTCCCCACACACCTTACGATAATCGTACGATAATGGTGGGAAATCCCGCGATCGTACGATTATCGTAAGGTGTGTGTGGAAGCCGTGCGACCTCTACTACTGTAAGGTCGCACGACATTAAACTTACGAACATGTTTGCAAACCCGCCGAGCATCGAAAACTACCTGCCCGGTGCCGGGAACTGCATGTCCGAGGCATCAGGAGATAGGAATTCCATACCCCTGCTGCCCTTGTACTCCCTGCTGCCCCGAGGCCGGACCTTGGTTGGCCTTGTGGGAAATCCAGCCCTACCCGTGACCCAAAGATCAGTATATAGCGAGCTACAGCTAGCTGTATACTGAGACCGCTGCAGCCGGGACGGATCCGACATTACTGTCGAGATCCACTTAGCTCTGTGAGTGACAGCTGGCCCTGCCTATCTAAAGGCAGAGTCAACCGTGCCCGCCCCCCTCCCCCGTCCGTTCCGCCAGTCAGCACTGGAGGATCAGAGAGGGGAGGGGGGGGGGAAATCCCTGCAGGGAGTGTGAGTGACAGTCACGGCTTTCTGCAGGAACATGATCGAGAAGTGAGCGAGCGACGTTATGCGTTCGCTCACTTCCCGATCTATTGAGCCGACGTGTTTCATTGTCACACGTCGGCTTGAACTATGAGGATGAGCGATTTCCACTCATCCTCATAGTTCTCCTTTAACTTTGCTGTCCCATCAACACAAGGTCTCATCCCTCTTGCTGCATTCAAATAAATAATTTGTGTGGGAAAATA